TAGACTTAACCAAATACTCAATTAATTATACTCGATTAAATCAAACAATCAAAACACAATCTATGAAACTGTGATATCAGTATATCCAATTAAGCTTCTCTAAATAGAGACAACAATCAACCGGGCAACCACACAACACAATCGTTGACCACCCGAAATATACTCCCCCCCTTCCCGATCAGCATAAGGTTTCTGCTGAACATATCCTGGACCACCAACAATGAGGAACGATATAGAAGTACAGATTCTAACCCTTTTTGAAGTTCCGTCTACTTCATTAAAGTAAGGTCGTCTGAACTATTTGTTCGTTAATATGTTTATTTTCTGAAATATATTAGTTATGATCACTCAATCACTCGATTAACGGTATGCTATGAAAACTATTTTTAATGTTTTTAACTGATGCATTCACTGCATTATTTTCTTGCACTTTGGAGATATTTTCAGATTCTTGCGAAATTGCGTCTTGGAATATCTGCTTGAGAGATGTTTCTCTGTAAACACAAATTTCTATCAACAATTCACAAACTCTGATGGTACATTGTATTCTCGAATAACATATCGTTAAGAATGTTCGAGCTTTGTGACGGACCCGATGCAGAAAACGTAATCCTTCATTTTAAGGGGGGTTTTTACCACACATGGCGAACACTGCCGAGCACTCACAACTAATCCCATGAAAGACATGCTTCGAAATCTGTCCTTAATTGTACAATGCCCCACTTTATTAATTTGAACTAAAAATGATGAGATCTGACTACGTGCGATCGTTTCTTTATGTCATTTGATTTAATCCTGGCTGCCTGTGTTATTCCGCCAAGGTTAAAAAGCGAGTGACTAAATGAATAAACCAAAAATCCAAACCAGAGGCGTTTTTAAATCCCGACTAGATTATGTTCCTTGGTACAAAATTATCATATGTAGCTTAACGTATGACATTCAGGACACCTGTTTAAAATAGAAAACATCTTACAGAATGAGAAAAGCCTACATAATCTATTTCGTAACATTACGTCAAAGTAACTATAGAAATAGTTGTGAAACAATAAATACAAGTGTTTAATTTCAGAAGCACATTCGCCTGCGCAAAAGCAACCTTTAGCCCCTTCTATTGGGCTACGTGGTAACGCCTTTCATGTTTGAATTGTAAAGAGAAAAAAATATTTCTAGGGCTGCAGATGTCCAATTCCTCACTTTTCTAAGTTTTGCCATTTACAATAAGTAGGAAATTGCAACAAATCATGTAAAGTACAGAATATGCATCCATCTGAAGTTCTAACAAAAATATAAGTTAATAAATAGAAAATTGAATTTAACTTTATTGAACACAAAATTGGTATCTTCTTCGAAAATATTGGGACAGTTCGTAGGTGCAGAAAATAAAGGAACCCGTTTTGGAGTTGAGGCTACCAAACATATAGAGGGATGTATGATATTGGAAAATAATGTATCCTTTTAAAAACAAATGTTAAAATAAATTATAGAAAAGGTGTCCATTCGCCAGTACTTTTTTCAAAATACCCGTTCATTTGTAATTGTCTGTCTTTCATCGGTTTGCCCCTCTTGATTTTATCAGGACCGCCCGCGTCAGTGGGTTATCTTCACTGGAACCAGACTATATTCTTGTCCGACGCATGAGAAAAATGATAATATCAATACTTTTGCAAATGCGGCGTTCCCCTTTTGCTTTTGCAAATGTTGAAAATTGAATGTGAATTGTAACCCCGGGAGTGTAACATTGCTCAGAGGGACTCGATCCCTTAAAACAATTGGACCACAATTTCATTCGTACCTTATTCGCAGAATCGATGGTACAGCTGTAGTAACACCAAGTAGTAACACTATGTTATTTCTAAATGATAAATGTCAAATATTACATTGCTTTTGCGAGACCTCTATGGGGACCTCATCAACTTTGAATAAATGTTTCATTTTTCCCCCTTGGAGCCCCTGGGTTTGATACCAATCATAATACATTGTACATCTTCTAAATTACCGCTAGTGACAAATTGAATGATTGTATTTTGATTTTCACTTTACAAATGTAACATACAATCCTGAGGTTACAATAAAGACATATAAAACTGTTTTATATGTCTGTACACAAAGACAATGGGATATGATGTAGTTTCGTGTTACCAGGTTTATCAATCCTATAGTCACTTCATATATAAAAACGTATTTCTCATTTATCAATCGCCAAACTATTGCTGGGGTGTACATATAATTTTGATTGCTGTTAGCTAACCGCGGGACGCACAAATTAGCTCGATCACAATTTCTTTGATAATGAATTGAGCTGTATGTCAAAACTAATTAGGTGCTTTCCCAAGTAGAAATTCACCAATCAGAAAACGTACATATTTGAAGAAAGATATGCATGATGGGATTGAAAAGGATGCCGTTTGTTGATTAAACTACTCACCTATAGTAACATTCCCGGGGGAAATCCTCCCGGGGACAGATTAATGTTCCCTCTATTGACCAAACTTGGTACTATACTCCACTCCACCTTTTGTAAATAAGGTCCACATATGCATTAAAAGAAGCTTTAAAAGACAATATACATGATACTAAATGGAATGTACAATTTAGCTGTATTATACAATATAATATGGTGGAAATGAAAGCTTTGACAATTATTGACTGGGTGAGGGCATGTATTCAAGCTGAGGACATGATTATTGATCGCCTTTTTACCTCACGTCAGACTCATGCAAAAATCTCACCTTTATTTTCTGCATTTTACATTTTTTCTCATCAAAATTCTACTAAAGTGTCTCATTTATTTATATTAGTCAACAAAGAGAACCATGAGCTTGTAATTGCATCTTCTAATAACTCATATATTCCTACTGCTGCTGCTGCTGTTGCTTCTCTTTTTTGCTGTGCTGCGTTATTATAAGGATGAATTTTAAACATCCTAGATTAGATATTGCAAAAATGCTACATTAAAAGAAATGTAATTATTTTACACCATTATTTGTATTATTACTGAACTACAAATTTTTTAAAGTAAGACAATAGTGGAGATTGAACCCAAATAAAACGTGAATCAATAAGTTATGACCAAAAACGAGTTGAAAACCACATATTTATTTCTGCAATAAAATCGTCAAAATGGCCGCCAGAAAACAAGATGGCCACCCAAAAGTTAATCAGCTCTAGGGACAGAGATAAAATGATTAAGTTTCACATGGCATTATTTGGTCATTTTTGGGTTACTGTACTCCCGGTTAAAAGTTGTATTTAACTATTAGAGTGATTTTCACTCCTTTTCAAAGCTTTAATATGTTCTATAACACTGAATTTTGCTTACGCATTTGGAGTGGATATTCACCTTTAATGAAAACAGAAGTTGATTATATATTGACCACCGGCGGATCCAAAATTTTGTGTTAGGGGGGGGGCGTGTGATAGTAATTGTGGGCGAAAAGTCAAATTTTGTAAAAAGCGATGAGGCAAAACACAAATTTTCTGACTTTTTAGGGGGGGGGGGGGGGCGTGCGCCCCCTACGCCCCCGTCTAGATCCGCTGGTGTTGACGGAATGTTGTGTTAGGTGTGTGTTAGGTCTTCTATTATTTTTTTCAACCGATATGCTTCGTAGATATGAGATCTTTTAAGAAAGGAGCATTGTCACCAATGTGCAAAAGTCAATGTTTTGCTATAAATCTGGCAACAATAGTACACAACTTATGGATAAGGTTTGTATCAAGCAAAAATTCAAGCAAATATTCAAGTTTACATCCAATTTACTGGTTTACACTTAGTTTTCATCAGACCTTGGTGTGTACTTTGATGTAACTAACCTCAAGTACTACTTTTTTCATGGCCTGACTTCGTCGCTAACATGCTAAATATAAGAGTTAGCTGACGTTTGGGAGTCTGACTTACCTTCTAAAGGTTAGAACCCGAATCTTAATGAAACCATATCACCTTTGTTCCGTCAACCATGGAGCATTTGCCACGACATCCAAGAGGTAAATCATGGACCGAGAAAATGAATGATTTCCTTGTAAGTTCCAGAAGTTTCAATACGAAAAATTACCGAACATATTAGTCTATATGTGAAAACCGAATATTTGTTCGTTGTTTTCACGATTTACAGGTTCGTTTGTTCTTCAATGTTTTGGTCTAAATTATAAAGCATCACCAACAGGTCTTACTCTATTAATCGACTAATACAGCAGACGGCTCATATTTCTACGTAGCATTTCATTCAGACCAATAGTGGGAGTGTAGATCACGCAGTTTCGTTCGTTGCGTACTTCACTTGAAATTGGTAATTTTAAATATTGACTACTTCACTCAGCTTGGCGGATGTAGAACATTGCTTAATATTCTTTTAATTTTCACACCAGACATGCTTGGTTGACACGTCAACAAAGTAAAGTTCAAGGGTCAATGCGTTATTTCGTGATAACTACAACGCCTTCCCGGAAGTCAACATTGATGAAAAATGAAAAAGTCGGAAAAGCATTTACACTAATTTCTATCAAATGATATGTTTATGCATCATCATCGACGCAACAAAGGTGATATGGTTTCATTAAGATTCGGGTTCTAACCTTTAGAAGGTAAGTCAGACTTCCAAACGTCAGCTAACTCTTACATTTAGCATGTTAGCGACGAAGTCAGGCCATGAAAAAAGTAGTAAATAGGTATTTACAGTGGCAGTGGTATTTGTAGTGTACAAAAATTGACCAGTACTCTCCCCCCCCCAAAAAAAAATACAGCGCATATCATGATCATATAATATTGCCTTTTCATTTCATATAGATGATGAATCATCTGATGGAAAGATACCGAGATGATGGGATACATAAGAAGTACTTCAATTTCAAAATCAACATAGCATCTTGAGCCTTATCACCTAAGTTACATGTGACTCACTCCACCTACTCCTGAAACTTGCAAAACAAACTTTAGGAAGTGCAAAACTAACCTGAAGCCAAGATGGCTGACATTTTTAACTTTCAAAATAAAAAATAAAACTCACTTTATAAAGTATTTTTGGCCGTTCTGTGCTATGGCTGAAGTCCAGCCGGGGGGCAAATGCGCCTCACCATCGAGGGTGGTGTCTACGCTGTGTTGCCGGAAGTGTTGAGTCTGGGGTTTGGGGGTAGCGAGAGGGGTTTGTTGAAAAGCAGCAGGAGAGCTGACACTCCGAGTATGTACGGGTACGATAGGTAAACTATTGACAGCGTTTGAATGATAGTTTGTGGAGTCAGTGCTCCCTTCTCGACTGTGACTCGCCGAGTTACGTCCATGTTGAGGATTAAAAAATGACTCTGGTAGGTTACGTTGTTTGTATGGTAAAGTTTGAGCTTTTTGGGGATGGTTGAGAACACGAAATAATTCTTCCATTCCCTGTTTTGAGTCCACTTCCTCTCGCACTTCACGATGATTTTGAAGATCCATATTATCACACTTTCCCTCTCGCTATTCCACGTAAATTCCAGCTATAATGAGCGTTAGTAATCCATTGACGATAATATCATGTTGTTTTTCCTTGATTCGAAAGGTTACCTGAGATTTGTAGTACTTTTTCACTCATACGAAAACTTTCCTCAACTTCTTCTTGGTGTTAGATGTACTTAGCCAAACTACGTACTTTCCAGGTGTGATATATTACTACGCTAGAATATAGTACTTGTTTACCTTGTTTTGTTGAATATGTCTAAGTAGAATGATTCCATGCGCATGTATTTAATTGATTCAAGTACACAGTTTAAAGGGGTTCGTTCACTTTTTAAAAGTTTTAAAACTATATTGAAAAACTTAAAAACTTCGTACAAAAATCAATTAGGACACGATTCGCAGGGGGTCTTAAATGATGACGTCATGATTGACCTAGAGGTCATATGAACACACCTGGCAACTCGTTTCGTCTTGGTGTAATGATAACCAGGGGACAGTTACCAGATTTCATTCAAAAAGTAGTGATCACAGTTTATGGATTTTTCCTAAGTTGCCAGCATGTGTAGTTATTCATATGTTATCAATGATAGATAAGATATAGAAAATCTAGATAGTTCTACTTTGACTGTAGCACGAACCTACTTTGACTAAGCTTTTCTCCATCTAAAATGTCACTCGACTTTTTGGCAATTAAAAGTCCCTGCCTGCATTTAGTAGTCATATATTGTCATGTGCATAATTTTGAAACCATAATTATTTCACAAACCCTTTGTTGATTCTGCCATAGTTTCCAATTTGTAAACAGCATTAGCCTTTTTAATTGGGAACTTTTTTGAAATTTCCAAAATGGCTGCCATGTGATTCCAGAATTAACATGAGTGTGACGTGACATCACAATTGCTCGTTCCTAGGTAACAACAAGATCACAATTGCTCGTTTCTAGATAGCAACAAGATTTTTGAAAAAATGGCACAGAATTACCCTGATTAACACCCTTAAAATCCGATTTTCAAAGAATATATTTGGAGAAACAATAAAAGGTAAGTGGAATAAATTAGAAGATGGTTTCAAGTTACCACAGAAGTCAATTTGAAACTCAAGAATGCTTTCTTTGACTCATAATCACAAAAAAGTCGAGTGACATTTTAGATGGAGAAAAGTGTAGATCTATTTCAATGTCCGTCAAAAAAAACGTTATTAATTTAAAGTTGCAACAATTAGTGCAGAGGGGCCATTCAATGATCATGGACCAGTGTCAAAATATATTTAAGTTTGGCTATTTCATCAAGACTTACATCTATTTTTATTATCTACTAAGAAACCCCCTAGATAAACATTATTTTAGCTGATATTCCTCTTGAAACATGGTGGATCTTAAAAATATAAAAGCGGATTTCCCCTTTTTGAAGCTTTGAACTGAATTTACACTTATTAATGCTGAAATTAATAGTTTATCCATACATTTTAAGAAAATAGGTATGTCAAAGAAGATGCCAGATGTTGCCTTGATAGCTCAGAAAAAGTTAAAAGTTTCCTATTTTCTCTCTACAGGCCTTGTTGCCCCTTTAAATAGGTTTCAACCCCCTCCCCCTTCTAACGTTAGTCAAAATTTTGATTCTCGTGGAGTTTGAATGAGTCAAAATGTTGATTTGCATGCAGTGTGCACAAGAACCCTAGCATACAATAAGGCTCTATAAACAACACATATCAAGTTTTCTAAGGCACATAACGAGGCCGCCTGATATGTGAGGCTTAAGGTACACAGTTGCCAACCATAAATGATGGAGTAGTATATTGCTCAGAATGCACCTTGAGGTCTAAAATCAAAAAGTTTCCGAGGGGCATGCCCCCGGACCCCCTAGATTTGCCCAGGCCTCTGCCTCGCGTACCTGCTATCAAAATCCTAGTCATGCCACTGTTTCTTACATATCTGTTATATATTTGATGATCATACCAATGCAGAAGATGAAACTCTCAGTCTGGGAAACTAAAAATCAATGTCCATAATATATAGGGCTTACCCCCCCCCCTTCCCCTAACACAATTAATTAAGTTATTCTAACAGACATTGAAATATTGACCGGGTCCCTTACTTGAATAGTAGAGAAATAATTAAAATCTTCACATTTTCAATTTATATTTCACTCATATATAACTTGAAAATATTAGAGTACTGTTTTATCAACATGTGTAATCCTATTCACTTTTTTTCTCCATCATTGAAATCTAAAAATAAGCAATTAATGGGCAAAAGATCTTAGCGCAGTATAGCGTGCAAAATAATTGTACATGTATATCCCGGATTACATGTGATTTGGCCAATAAAATGTGTAGAGTTGATATTTTGAAGTTTCTCTGCCATGTTATTTTCGAAAAAATGTATTTCTCTATATAATACTGCCTTTGTTTGCTTATTTTTTAGGTTTTATTCAGAAGGAGAAAACGTGAAATGGATTTGAGATTATGTTAAATTTGATGTTTTGCAATGTATCAATGTATTTCGAGTTTCTATATGATACTGCTTTTGTTTGCTTATTTTTTAGGTTTTATCGAAGGTATGGTGTTCTGTGCAATGAATGAAACATAAATAAATAGAGTACAGTACTGCGTACTCAGCACAGTAAGCATCCGGCCCCAAACAAATTATGTTACTCCAGGCTAAAAACATTTTTAGAAACTTGCCCCTGGATTCTCAAAATTGGGAAGCGCTCTTCACTTAGGAGAGTAAAAAATACCAGAAATGTGGTAGAGGTGCTATGTAAGCAGTCACGACACTTAGAGCATTTTCCCTTTGTGGACACCAATGGAAATTCTTCTTGTATCCACTATAGATTTTGTAATTTTTTCAACATACATTTACACTCAAACTTTATTCTTACATCTTACATGCAAGCCACATCAATTTATGAGTATTTTCCTCTTGTACAACTACATGAAGACTATGACACACTGTTGTCTCTAAGCTCAATGTCCAACATGTGTCAGGGCACCTACACATATCGTAGGAAGCGGGGTAAACGGGGTACATAGCCTTACGTATATACCCTACATTGATACACTGTGTCCTATACATAGCTTGGGAAGTGGGGTAAGCGGGGTACATACCTTTACATGTAAAGTACACTCCCCTCCATAAGTTTGGCAACCTTTTCCCCCCATTGAACTACGTGTTAAAGCCTCTTTACCTTTGAATTTTTATTTACTTAACCTGCGATGAAAATACTTATACTATTGATGGAAACGTAATTTGACTTTAATTCCAATACCTCGAAATTTTCTCAATTTTTTCCTCAATTACAATAGGTCGAAAATTGATGATGAATTTGATGAATTTTTCAAAATCGACATTTCCATGTTAACCAATGGGAAATGGTAGGTTTGCCACAAGTCATATGACAGAATATCCATCCATCCGAGTCCTTGCAAAAAATACGAGTTAGGCAGGAAATCGAATTTGCTAACTTTATTTAACAAAAAAATTATATGTTTCATCAGGTTCAACAAAGTTATAGGGCTTTAAAGTCAAAATTGTTTTTCAAAAAACCTCTCCCATTGAAATAACGTACAGGAGGCGAAAAATTATTTTCAAAAATGACTTTGAAGCGCTGTAACTTTAATATTCATCAAATAAACTAAACATTTAGTGTTCAAAAAAGTTAGACAATTCAATTTTCTATATAAAAATAATTTTTGCTGAATCTTTTACTGAAAAGATATCCTGATTTCTGATTGGCCTCGAACCCTTCATTTCCCATTGGATTACGTGGGAATGACGATTTTCAAAAATTCCTCAAATTTATCATCAATTTTCGACCTATTGTAATTGAGGAAAAAATTGAGAAAATTTGGAGGTATTGGAAATAAAGTCAAGTTACGTTTTCATCAATATTATAAGTTATTTTATCGCCGGTTAAGTAAATAAAAATTCTAGGTAAAGAGGCTTTAACACGTAGTTCAATGGGGGAAAAAGGTTGCCAAACTTATGGAGGGGAGTGTATGTATAATTATTACTAAATTGTTTCAAGCTCCTACATGTATACATAAATATCGTGGTCGACGGGGTAAACGAGGTACACTCTACATTGCTACACTGTGTCAGGCACCTCTACACATCCTGAGAAGCGGGGTACATAGCCTCTAGTATACTCTACATTGATACACTGTGTCAGGCACCTATACATAGCTTGGGAAGTGGGATAAGTGGGGTAAGCGGGGTACATACCTATGTTATGGTATCTGGTTGTGGGGTTCAGAGGTCAAACTGTGATATCACATTAACACTCCAAACCCCACCTCTTCGGATGAGCGGTACGAAATAAATTTTTCTTTCGAAAATTGAAATAAATGGTATAAAATGATCAAGTTGAACAGAGTGGTGATGTCTCGTGTCATCTCGGGATGACACGTCGCCGGACGAGACACTCTTAGGATGAGACCCTCCTCGGATGAGCGGTACGAAATAAATTTTTCTTTCGAAAATTGAAATTAATGGTATAAAATGATGTTATAGTTCAAGTTGAACAGAGTGGTGATGTCTCATGTCATCTCGGGATGACACATCGCCGGACGAGACACTCTTAGGATGAGACCCTCCTCGGATGAGCGGTACGAAATAAATTTTCTTTCGAAAATTGAAATTAATGGTATAAAATGATGTTATAGTTCAAGTTGAACAGAGTGGTGATGTCTCGTGTCATCTCGGGATGACACGTCGCCGGACGAGACACTCTTAGGATGAGACCCTCCTCAGATGAGCGGTACGAAATAAATTTTTCTTTCGAAAATTGAAATTAATGGTATAAAATGATGTTATAGTTCAAGTTGAACAGAGTGGTGATGTCTCGTGTCATCTCGGGATGACACGTCGCCGGACGAGACACTCTTAGGATGAGACCCTCCTCGGATGAGCGGTACGAAATAAATTTTTCTTTCGAAAATTGAAATTAATGGTATAAAATGATGTTATAGTTCAAGTTGAACAGAGTGGTGATGTCTCGTGTCATCTCTGGATGACACGTCGCCGGACGAGACACTCTTAGGATGAGACCCTCCTCGGATGAGCGGTACGAAATAAATTTTTCTTTCGAAAATTGAAATTAATGGTATAAAATGATGTTATAGTTCAAGTTGAACAGAGTGGTGATGTCTCGTGTCATCTCGGGATGACACGTCGCAGGACGAGACACTCTTAGGATGAGACCCTCCTCGGATGAGCGGTACGAAATAAATTTTTCTTTCGAAAATTGAAATTAATGGTATAAAATGATGTTATAGTTCAAGTTGAACAGAGTGGTGATGTCTCGTGTCATCTCAGGATGACACGTCGCCGGACGAGACACTCTTAGGATGAGACCCTCCTCGGATGAGCGGTACGAAATAAATTTTTCTTTCGAAAATTGAAATTAATGGTATAAAATGATGTTATAGTTCAAGTTGAACAGAGTGGTGATGTCTCGTGTCATCTCGGGATGACAC